TGCCACCTGCTGTGTGCATGGCTTCTGGCGCACAATGCATTCAGCATGCCTGGTGTTAATGCTTCGACTGCCGCAAAAAAACGATGCACTCGCGGCTCAAATGGCTGCGCGGCGTGGCGGGGTCCACGCGGAAACTTCCATCTGTCGCTGCTCTGCCCTTGTAGACCAGCCTGTAGTCCCTGAATCGGGCAAGAGCCTCTCCAGCAGCTGTGAACTTGGACGGCACCCACACATTACTATAACTGCTCGGAGCCCTCAGGCGATTCGCTGGTGCGTCAAGAAAAAAAGAGAAGAAGGAGAGAAAGGGCATGAGCTGCATCAAGGGGAACGACGCTGGAACAGCCAGACCATGCCACCTTAGTCGCAGCGCGGGCCTGGAACGTCCGCATGCGCCGGTGCAGGGCGAAGGCATCGCGCTTGGCGGGCATCAAAAGGTCTGTGCGTGCTGCAAAAGGCCAAGAAGTTGCTTCACAGCTTCACATTCGATGCACTTTTGAAGCTGGGCAAGCTGGGCATCTGTCAAGATCGACAATGCTCAGGAGTTTAGGTCTCAAAGCCACATGGTCACTGAGCATCCCCACCACAAGGCCCGCGCCCTACCCTGCTCAATGGAGAGAGCCGCGACATCGCTGTCAAAGTCCATCGAATGCCAGCTGCTGCTGCTACTGCAGCCGGGAGCACTCAAAGGCCTGTGGCACGTTGCATGCCAGGCAAGTGCCCACAGAGTGTCCATGGCTAGATTAAGGGGAAACCGACCCGCCGATCCGGTTCAGCGCAAGCGTTCGACTGAGGAGATTGGGGGCAACATGTGCATGGGCAACTTGCACGGCAGAGAGCCGAGGCTGAAACGACCGAAGGGGAACTCTTCAGGGCCCTTGACACGCCCCACAAGCCAGGCAGCATCACCTAGGATCCTGCGCACAATTTTAGGCACTGCGCCTAGCCCCGCTCTGGCATGGAAATCGCAGGAAGCTCGAAGACACTGCAGATGATTCAATGGTATGAGGACTTGCAGCCAAGAAAAGCCGAGTAGAGCAGAGACTCGTTAATTAAGCAACGGTCTGTTTCGCCGCACTTCTTTGAACTCGAATCGTTCTGGGCTTGGGCTGAAGGCTTCACAGATGGCAGAGTCGCAGCTCGCCATGGGCGAGGAGTGCTGTGTAGCACGCCATGCCATCATCCTAGAGAGCGCTCAGATTTTAGACGCATGGCTCTGTTGGAATGGGAGCAAACAGGCTCAGCAGCCCAGGACGGGCTGCAATCGTTCATAGCATGCAACCGACTCCGGGCCTGACTGGGCCTGACTGGTGCCAGTGAAAGTGCGCCGTGTCGTGGAACCTCTCTGCCGTTTGAAAATCGCTGGGAAGTTGGGTGAGGGAACAGGATTCATTTACACATTGACATGTATAGGTGTCTAGGCTGATTCGTCCTGAGGACCATAAGGATCTATGTGGGGCGCAGGGGGTCAATGTCTGATTTTTCCGAACAAGCGCAGCAAAGGCGTTAGCAGCTACCCTGTTCGCTTACAAGCAGCTTGCCAGCGCCGACTGAGAGTCAGGGGCCCTCTCTTCGGGCACTTCCTGCAGCACCACCTCCTGCCATGGAACTGAGAGGTATGAGAGGAGTGCACATGCCAGTCCTGCAGCACCCTGAGGCCTCCCCAAGCCAGACACTGGCGACGACTGCGCATCTGCTCTCGTTCCAGGGTGAGCGCACGAGATGGTTCGAGGCCACAGCAAGTACACTGAGCCCTAGTTTGAGCTAGTCTCCAAGAGTGTCCCTTCTCACGATCAGCACAGAGGGTCGTCCCAAAAACGATGCTGAGGTGCGCCTTCTGGTGATCTAAGCGCATTTTGACTAGAGACCAGCCGAGAGGCAGGAAACGCCGAAGAAATTCTGCGGTGTCAGGAGCATAGAGCTTGAATCAGATTCCACACCTCTAAGCTGGCTGAGATGCTTGACTGATTGAGGCACTTGAAAACGCCATTGCACGATGTTGCACGACGCTGCACGATGCCGCACGATTGCACTAAATCGCTGAGATTCTTGGCTCGGCTGTGCTGAGCTGCTATGCAAAGAGACAAAAACTGGAGGTGCATAAGGCCTGGTGCAAGGTAGCAATAAAGCTTGCAACCATGCGTGTGCACATGTGCAGCTGTTCCTGGCTCAGACTTCTCCAGCACACCGTCGCCACCGTCAAGGAGCAAGGGCGAGCCGGAAACAAGTCGAGTTCAGCAGCTGGGCTGGATGGGCTGGCGGCTGCCGCTTGGACGACGTCCCATGTACTCGGCAGCTATCACAAACTTTGCGGCAAGATGTCAGGACGTGTTGGACATGCCGAGAGCAGCGACATCCTCATCAGAGTGGCTGCATTTCACTTTTTTCACCCCGGCAGCCCTTGAGCCTTCAAGCCCGCTTGACAACTGCGACCCCACCCCACCACAAGCGATCTTCTCCATACACAAAGAAAGCCGCAGATGCATGCTGCCGCTGTGGCGGACCGGAATGAACCTGCGGAAAAGGCATGTCAGCATCGATGCTCCCACCACGCGACAAGTGCAGAAGCAGCATCAGATCTTGCATGGGCATAGGCACAGGTCATCCATGATGAATCCTGAGCCGTGTCCGGCATCATGTTAGATGATCCCCGGCCCCGTGCGCCTTAACATGGGCACCACTGGCCGGCACAGGGGCTGAACGATGACGTCTTTGCCGCTATGTGCCCATTGCACAACGAACTTACAGCCTTCTGTTTGCAACATCCGTTGGGAGACACATGCAAGACTGCGAAAGTTGAAACCGTTTCTGTTCTCTCACGTCTCCTGCAAAGTTAACGTCAGGACAATTTTGCGGTTGTGTGATTGGCTGGCGCCACCAATAACTCCTAACCATCCCACATAGACAGAAGGTCTTCGCACAGAAGATGCTTCAGCTTGTTGAAGCCTGCAAAAGTCTGGTTGCCACCTAGCATCGAACCGGGGTGTTCAAAGGCCTCGCAGCTGCAGCGCATTATGCCCAAAGGAAGGCGGCTGCACATGCCCTAACAAGCCTGCCGTTCCCACAAGCAAAGCTTGCTGGCTGGACACGCAGGGTGCCGCGTGTGCACAACATAGCAGTCGTACATGTGTGGCACGTGCTGCATCAGATCATCAGGTGCCCTACGTTCGGAGCACCTCGTGGCCTCTTTTTTTGAGCCCGTGCTATGCAACTGCCTGAGACGGGATGACCTCAGACCACTTAATGGTGGCACGCGCATGTCCAATCTGCAGTCAAGGCTGCACTCAATGATCTGCTTTACCAGTGTCACATTGGCCTCCATCATGCCATCGGTTTGTGGTGAGCTGTTCTTTGGCAGACCACAAGAGGGAGCTTGGACCATGCCTAGTGGTTGTACTTTTATCCGAATATAGAGCCATATTGAGCCATATTGAGCCGCTGCGCATGCAAATCGTCAAGCCGCAGTTCACAGACCCAAAGGATTACATTCTGTGTCTCTGTGTGTGGGACTTCCATTCGCGACTTCCATGGTAGTCTAGTGACGGGTGTTGCAACTGTTCAAAAACACTTGGATCCCTCAAGGGCTTAAGGCCCGACCCGAAAAAATACTCTGGAGACGCCTCAGCCGCTCAGCCTCTAAAAGTTGCGTCGTTTCGCCCCCTTTTTGAGGCATAATGTTGCATAATATAATAGATCATAATATAATCTATTTTTTGTAGTATACTGTTGTGATATATAATGCAATATAGAAATCCTCACACTAAGCCTCACACCTGGCTGAGGTTATGGGTTTCAATGCTGGGGTTGCTCTTGTAGTCGGTGCAACTGGGGCATCTGGAACAATCTTCGCGCGCGAACAGATACCATTCATTTTCTATCTTCCCACGACACAAGTCTGCCTGCACATATTTCCGAGCATGCATGGCCCGGAGCTGATACAATCCGATTCAGCTTCGTCTTCCGAGGGGTGTGTCCAAAATCACAACGAAGGCTGTAGAAAGTGAGAAAGGATTTTCATGGAATAGGATCGATTTTATAAGGAAGAAAGCGAATAAAGGGGCCCTAAAGTCCTGCGCCATGCAAAAATTACGCCCAGCGCAGGGCGAACGGCACGTAACTGATCACATAGATCATGGCATCTGGGCTTATATATGTCCTGGAGCATGTATAGCACTGAAATGGACACTGTAGCTCAGCTTTCCAACATGCCATGGCAATCACAGCACTCCTTCCAATGAACAGGAACATGCAAAACATGATCTGCAGGGTCTCCTGCGCTGTGGTCCTCCTACAGATTCCTTCGGCCACTCCTGGACGATTGGGCAGCCTAAGCGAACATAGTGACATAGTGAATTTAACAGGCAGTCACGCAGCAAAGATCCCTGATTTTGTTCCACGCAGCGCTCGGCGCAGAGGTCACTAAGCTGGGCATTGCGCGAGAGAGGTGATCGAGGAATGATTGTGCTGTGCTTTATGCACTGGCTTCTTCTAAAGTACAGATCCTTTCTATCTTGGAACTGTATAAGAGATCCCCAACCTAGAACAACCATGAACAACACCAACGCAAACACAGGGCTGCAGGTTTCGGGTTCGGGCTTCAAGGCTCACGACGGAGTCTCTGGTGGATCGAACTCTCCCGACGCGCCGCGCCGCTAATTTCCTAAAATCTCTACGTCGCAACGCCTGGCAAGGCAGAGATGCCGCACAGGCCCGCCGCTGCTTTAAAGGGTGCGTCCCTGCATGTGCTGGTCGGTTTTTCCGAACTCTTGGGATTTCCAAGCGTGAAACTCCGAAGGGGGACACAGAAATCGGCGGGAGTCCTCCACCGAACCGTCTTGTGCTCTGCGGCTACGCGATACAAAGAAGTATAAACCGATGCTTGCGTGGCGTCCACGCCCCCCCAAACATTTCTAGTCGTCCCCAGGGCACCTTCATCAGCCTACATGTAAATTGGAACCGGCACACGGTTCCTCTACAGCTATATGTCGTTCTCCAGAGCATGTTCAGCTCCTGTGGCGCTTGCGCTTGTTTCTCTGTCGGATGACGATCTCATCCCGGCACTCTGAATCCCGATGGAGAATCAGTTGCCTCACTAACGCCAGCTGCTGCTGGAAGGTGGCCGAGGTCTCGCTGTGCTGCAACTCGTAGATTTGCTCCACGGCAGCCTCGAAGTTCGGCAGGAGAGTCGCCACCTTGCACCGGACCACAACGGGCTTCTTCCAAAGAGCCTCCAGCTGCTTCAAGACCGACAAGCGCCGGTTGTTGATGGAGCAGACGCCGGCACCTGAGATCTGCCCGGCACCCTTCTGCGGCGCCCTCATGTGCATTGCAGATTTTCCCTTGTATGTGTGTGTGAGTGTGTGTGTCTGCTTTTGCGTGTGCATCAAGAGAAAGAAAGAGCGAGAGAGTGAGAGAGGGAAAGAGCGGAAACGAGCGAGAGAGAGGGAGAGGGACCAGAAACAGAGAGAGAGAAAGGGATAAAGACAGAGAGGGAGAGAGAGCGAGAGAGAGAGAGAGAGAGAGACAGAATTAAAGAGACACAGAGATACATACAGGGATATCCGGGATTGATTCAACAAAAAGGGTATACAGAGATGGAGACAAAGTGATAGATGAAAAGACAGTGTCTGTGCCGCGCGTAATCCAAGCGATCAACGTGTCTCGTATTTGCATCTTGCTTCGTGGCTTCTATCAGGGTTTTGCAGTTTAGCAAATATTTCAACATTCACACGTTATAACATTGACATGTACAACTGCCTTCCGAGGATGCGACTCGTCTCCACGCAGAACAAGTTCAGGAAACTTGCGTGCAAGCCGACTTCTCCTGCGTGAGCTTTGAAAGACGATGGCACGATGGGTTGAAGGTTTTAGGGTTCAGGCAAAGTCTTTGCAGCGGTCCTCGATGCAGCTGGCGAAGCGTCTCGGAGCACGACCTCCCATCAGAGAAGGTGTCGCCACAGGTGTCCTGCGTGAAGTTGATCTCCCCGGCAGGGATGTCTCGAATCCTCAAGCTCAGACTCTACAGTAGGTGTTTCGCCGCAACTAGCCAAACCCAGGCATCCTTCAAACTGTCCCCTTGAAAGAGCTGAAGCAGGCTGAGGCTCTCGTGAGGCAGGTTCTCAAGCTCTGACCGGATGTGATACAGGTGTGCAAAGCTTGGGGCGGAGAGCTTGTGCGGGAGGGCGGCCTCCACGCTTCTTGAGGTTTCATTTCTTCATTTCAGACTGGCAGACTGGCAGAGAGCGGGGGGTAGAATGGAGAAAGACACAGGATCCCGTAAAAAAAAACGCTCCAACGCTGAAGGCCTTCGACGAACGCCAGCCCGGAGGTGGACCAGGGGGCTCCTTGCCAGCTTCGGCATGTTCTGATTTGCTGTCGCATGTTCGTCTCGCAGGAGATTTCAAAACACCCGTTGCCCAGGCACAGGGCGCATCGTCGACGAAAGTCGTGTGTGCGTCCACTGCAAAAACCAATATGTTCGGTCGTGTGTGCTGAATCGCGCTCCCGTGTGCAGTTCAGCGTGATGGTCTCAAAGCTACCGCTAGTTCGTTTTAGTGCATGGATATTTGTCATGGTTCTCATCTATACTGTTCTGATTTAATGTTGGACTCGCTTTAGTGTGGGGCCCCCCCCCCCCCCCGCCCCCCAAACAATTTTGGGGTTTTCGGGGATCCTTAATAATGTGGGATGGGGCTGGGACGGGGGCTGGGGGTAGGGCGGCTAGGGGTCGAGGGTTGAGGGGAAGCCTTGAAGCTTGAGGGTCTAAGCTTTCCAGGCTTTGTAGCTCCACGGTCGCCGGGGCTCCGCATTAATGCGGACCACCGAAACAACTTGCTAAAGCGAATCAGGGCAGCTCGTGGGCTACTCCCTTGGAAAATTGTTTGGGGGCCTGTTTCGTAATGAAATTTTACGAGGAATTTAAATAAGGCTGGACACCAAAAAAATCCGGAGTTTCTTATTCAAAACTTTTCTTAGTTGTTGGCTCCCCGGCCCCCCGCCCTTCAACCCCAGCCGGGACAACATCGCATAATTGTGAACCACCCTAAACAATGGGGGGTTCTGTATAAGATTTTCGGAACATCGCATAATAGCGGTCCCATCCACTAAAGCGGGTGCAACATTATACTATTTGGTCCTAGATTCCCAGATAGAACTTTGACACTTTCAGCCGCGCATTTTCTGCTCAGTGCTAGCTTCCAACTTGAGCAGTCATCCCTGGTTCCTGAATGTTCCGA